TGCTCATCAAAAGTTTCCAGAGCCTGGGAACTGTAGAGGTAAGCTACTGCTTAACCTAAACAATCCGGGGGGTTTTCCTTCCCCCCTCCCACTTCTAAGTAAAAGAAAAAGAAAAAAACAAGCCAGCTAAACATTATTATGATTCAAAGTGAGCTTTCTTAATGTGTGCAGGAGAAATCAAACGATGTCACCTAAGCTCCTCGAAATAACAATGGTCTTCCACATTGCCACTACAATTATCTACATGGCCAGGCTGGGCAGGGCTTTCAGTAGTAGTCCTAGTTCTGTAACATCTGAAAGGCTGCACATTGCCGACATCTAGCTGATACCTACTGAGTTCCAGCACAGGTGAATACATGCATATTTCCTTTTAATTTTAGCACTTACAGCCTCAAACTGGAAATGCCCTTGTTTTATCACAGGTTTTTCTTTCCTATTAACTGGAATTTATTCTTATAAATCTTACAGTTATGCCATATTGATGATCTGATGTTGCTATATTTTGTTATATCCATTATTCTGATTATCATGGAACTGAATATTATTTTTGCATGAATTTGTTCCCTTTCCTCCCACCTCTGTTCTCTTAGCTGCTCTGCCTTTTTTGGCAGGAAGCAACACATGAAAGGAAGAATTTTGACTTCTTTTATTAACCTTTTACATGCATTAATTGGGAATGCAAGACTTCTGAGTGTAACTGTGGTTTGACTTCTCATTTCCTCATGGGCTATTATGTTACCTGTACGGTGAAAGTCATTCTACACCTTTCAGAGTCAGTCAGTAACTGGAGAGATGCTAACGACTTGAGGCACGTTCTGCTCTCAGGAAGCTGTTGCATAGAGGCCTCAGGGTCGGTTCTCACTTCCTGCTTGCCCCTGCCTAAGGACAGGCTGCCTACAATTTCGAAAGGACAGGATCTGATGATATCGTCCTCAGCCTCCCCCCCCCCTCCCCCCAGCTTGCTGGCAAGGTGACTTCTGAGTTTTCTAGCTCCACATCAGAAGTTGTGTTTTTTCTTTTCTGACGGCACGAGCAGACCAGTCCAGTCAACTTGGTGCACCACACTTGCTCCAGAGAGACCTCTATTCCAATTAGCTGACGTGTGCTCTAGAAGACGTTTAGGTTAAGCAGTAGCTTACCTCTACAGTTCCCAGGCTCTGGAAACTTTTGATGAGCAGGTATTACATCTGGTCAAGGTCACTTTCAGAGCCCCTGACTCCAAAACAGAATCATGGGATTGCAGTGCCAGACTTTGATAAAAAGC